GTACATAAATATATATTACTGTAAAAAATACTCTCTCAGCTACGACAGCTCAACTAATATGTACCGGGTGATTGGTTAACTATGGACCAGTCAACAACTCAAAAGGTATTAGACTTGTTTTAATTATTTTTTTTTATAATTTTATAGTTATTAATTGGGAAAAATGTAATGTTTTTTTAAATTATAACACCGTCCCTTATATATTAAAATCTTATAAACTTGAGGTTTTTAAATAGTAACGTACATATTTGATTAACTTTTTCAATTAAGAATAATTTGCTGAATAAGTTGACTGGTTGATAACCAGTTGTGGATAATTAGTTTCAAAGTTATTAAAGTTTAAAATTTAGGACAGGAGGAAGGGTGGAGAGTAGAGATGTTTTTATCTGCGCGCATTACTCAACCGCTCTTCCCTTCCCGTCATAACTTTTAAAATTGAATAATTTAAAAACTAATTATCCAAAACTGGTTACCGACCAGCCAAAAAAATGTACAGGAAATTTTACTTAAATTAAAAAGTTAATAAAATACATACGTTACCATTTTAAATTCTTAAGTTCATGCGGTTTTAACATATAAGGGATGGGGTTATATTTTTCAAAAATATATTAAATTTGTCTCAACTAATAACTATAAAGTATAAAAAAAATAACTAAAAAAAGTCTAATATCATCTAAGTTATTGACTGGTCTATAGTTAACCAATCACCCGGTATGTAGAGTTTTACACAGTTTGCAGTCAGGTTCATATAACAAGAGTGTAAATCTGTCAGTTAATTATGAATCTATCGATACACAATGTATTATGCTACAAATCAGTGAATCAGTGAAAAAACAACCAGTTTAAATTGATATTCAGTAGTCGAACCGTTATTATTATATTATTACACCGGTGTACCATTCATATCCTGGGTATTTATTGTAAATCCTTTTGACTTATTCCATATAGGTACAATACGAAAACAACCGTCATTAGCATATATAATATTATAATATTATCTATAATGGTTAATAATCGTACTATTGTCATGATACAGGCATGTACATTATTGTATAGCAGTAAAAACGTACTTAAACTATTGTTTTTCTTTTTTGACGGCCGACGGGGACGATTATTATTCAGAGTGTAAAAGTTTGTGGCTCGTGTCCGTCAACAATATCATCACCGAATTTATGGAAAAACTCGGAATCATGTGGCCCATTGAATCGTGACTGCTGCCGTAACACGAGCTCGTGTCCGGGCACACGAGACACGCGTCTAAGTGGCAAGTGCTTATACCTACACATATAGGTATTATGTTTATGTAAAGTGTGCACGTACACGTTATGATGATTTATAATAATTATTACCCATATGTATATAATAAAAGTTCAATGAAAAGACTAATGTCTAACTAAAAAGTTAAATCGAGAAAAACGCCTAAAAAAAGTATATTTTTTTCTACTGAAAATTACCGCGTTCTACATCTTTATTTGAACATGGTCGAATTCTTCTTCTTCAACACCTTAACGGTCAATATTAAGGACCTGCGCAGCCACTAGTAGGCTTCTCCGTGTTTCTCTATTCAACGCCTAGCCTGTTATTGCATTCTCGTCTACCAGTATTATACATATTTTTAGTCAGGGTCTTTCTATCTGATCATTGGTCTACATCCCATTCCAAATTTGTTTTATGCGACGTTGGCAACAAAATTATAATAGTCTGATCGTTTAAAATTGTTTTAGACAGAAAAAAATGGCACTAGAGTAATGGATGGCATGCGAAGATAGTTTTTAAAAAAAGGTAAATAGGATATACTAACGGACAGGGCAGGGAAGAGAGGCGTTAGAAAAGGAAGATGGGTCTAAATAATACATTTCCCATACTTCACAATTGTTTTAATAATTACATTTTGGCCATTGCCTTTGGCATTATTTCCCCAAAAACCTATGTAATAGTATTATAAACTGTTATGTTAGTGTTTAATTTTTTTTTTTAGAAAACATCAACATAATATTATGTGAGTTTAGGCTTTATCGTAATGCGAGGTACTAACACTACAAACGATTGACGAATCATTCAATAGACAGTACAGAATTTTTTTACAATAAATTCGAAACAAGAATAATGGCTAGTGAACTTTGGGTTTGTGTGAATGCTAATTTAGGAGTACAGCGGTTCCGTAATGATGTTCTTTAGCATCTCCTCAGTTGCCACTACAATCTCGTCGAGTGGGTGGAAATTCTTATTTTTTTCTTATCTCGACGAGAAAATTTATACATATATGTATATGTGTGCGCGCTGTATGTTATAAAACCGCCGTACCCGTTACATACTTGCATACTTGTGGTCGACCGCAAACGACTCGGAGAAGGGCGGCACGCGGGTTCGTCATCGGCTCACGATCAAACGCTTTACGGACTGGCGACGACGCCATAAAAAATAACATTGATATATGTATATATATATATATTATAATAATATAGGAATAATATAATTTAAGGTATAATATTCGAAACGGACGCGGTATAAACGACGGTACATAAGAGAGTGATGAAAAAAAGGCCGTAAAATAATAATACTATTCTCCTCCGCCTCCGCCGCCGTCACCACGGTGCTGCTAATGGGTTGTAAAAGAAAAACACGAACACGGCTACTGTATGTGTGCGAGGTAAATATATATATATATATATAAATGTATACTTATGTATATTGTATTTACTATATACGTGTCGGCGGTCAGACGCGCGTCCAAGTAAGCGTGGGCCGCGTGGGAACCGCTTGTGGCTTGGGCAAGGTCGTCTTATAGGTATCGCTTGTCCGGCTATTCGACACAAGCACCAAACAACAAAAATCTTTAAATAGGATATCGCATGCAAAATACACGGCATAAGTCTGAATATATAATTTAACTGCCAGAAGCGTGAGCGATAAAGAGCGGATGCGTCTCACCTGAATTAAACCTGAACTCCTAGTAAAGAGCTAACTGTTCTCGTATTAACATACAAAACAATGTATTGCATTTGTAGGGCTACTTATAAAATACATTGCTTGGCATTTATATACGTCTAATATTTACATAGTACAAAGAAAACATTTCCCAAAAAAGTAACAATATCACAGAAAGGTGTGCTATTCTACTATATGTGCTTTTTGCAACATACTCCTGTTGGTAATACAACTTTAAAATATCAATTTCAAATTGAAATTAAGTATTAAAAGTATACTTACACCCAGAATTTCTAAGAATTATTATCCGTCAAGTTTGACATACTTAGCTTTATTGAGGTATACCACCGCTATAACCGTACTACATAATGTATGCACATTGCACTCTGTGTGTGGTAGAATAGACTATATTATAATATAATAGGGCCGCTGTTTGTATTATAAATAGCGAAGAACCATCAAGCAACCCTAGAGCAACGGTAATGACACTTAATTGATGATACATGAAGAGTTAAACGGAGATGTCTGGGGGGGGGGGAATAGGAAACGAGCGAAAAATTTCCCACGGTATTCACTCTATGCGATTAGATTTTCATATTCAAATAGCGTATTATTACTATATTGGGAATTGACTGTTTGGGATTTAATTTTAACCACATGCAAATATGAACCTCAGAAAACACCTACGGTTAGAACGGCTATTTAAATGGAGCTGGTAATAATAACTTCAAAAATGAACTAATAATTTATTCTAAAGAAATTACATAAAATATTTTATGAAATCTGCTGTTAAGGAAATCACATCTACTCTTTGTGAGCGAACCTTTTTTCAAATGTTCAATCATTATTATTGTTTTAGCCGATTTTATTTACTGACACTGTATAGTAATTGTAAGCGCAGCAAGTATTTTTCTTGAAAGCGTTTTCATTTTCGAATATGTTACTCTAATTCACTTGTCCTACTATCCTATCTATTATTTTGCTTTCTGTTTTTTCCAACTATAATACATTGTAGAGTCCATCTTCAGAGCGATGGTTACCGTTCCACTGTCTTAACTATACTCAGTGGAACAGTGGCTATCAGTTATCACTATAAATGCATGGGTCCGAAACCTCAGCATGCAAACTGAGACATAGGATACATTTGAAAATTATTAAATTAATATTTCAATCTACGACAGTTTTAACACAATCATAAAATTGTGATATAGTTTAATTTATTTAGGGTTTTTGTACATTTTCATCGTTTTAAAAATTAAAAAATCAATTAATTTTTATGAACATTTTTTCTAAAAACTAAAAATGCAAAAACTAACGACAATGTAAACGAATGTCATACAGTTTTCATTTTAGGAACAAAAGAGGTATATTCACTATGCAATGCCGAGTGGCACAAGAACATTAATTGACTCAAAGGGCTTAAAAAAAACAAACGGTGAACATTTATAGGTCCTAACCTCTACGACGGTATCTTGAGTGAGTAGTGACTAGACCTATTTTTACATTGTAACACGAGTAGTGTGTTCTTTTATTGATCATTTTAACGGTACTAACGGGTTTTTTTTTTTTTTGTTAGATGTTTAACCGTTAATGAGTGAAATATAAATCGCTTAAATCCCGACCATTGTGGACGCACGGACTGACGACGATGAGTTAAGCGGCAATAAGTAAGGGAAAAGACGGCGTCGGCTTCGGTGTGTGTGTGTGTGTGTGTGTGCAAAGGAACCGACGGTAGTCGTCGAGTGAATTTTATTGGTGCGCGATGATCGTAAAAATCAATAGACCAAAGCCGTAGTTCTACCCATAAGACTCTGTCGGTCAGGTGCACCAGGATATGTGTGTGTGTGTTTGTAAGTATACAGCCTATGGAAATGTGAAGGCTCATTACAGTTGGAAGATTTATCGGTGGCGGACGCGCGGTCGCGTCAAACCGCGCGTTGATTAATTACGACCGGACCATTGTGGCGGCGGTGACTCTTATAACTCTTCTTCTCTTCACCGTGTCCGTGTCACACACACACACACACACATGCATGGGATTTTTCTCTAATAAATTCTATAAAAAAACGTACCTTGCTGGAAGTAGTTGGCTTTCCGGACGTACACGCACACCAGGGCCATCAGCTGCAGTTGAGACAGCCGTTGCCGGGTGGACGGCGGAAGTGGTAACAGATCCCGGAGGTTGGCGATTTCCGCGTTTATCAGGTCCCTCCGGAGTTTACTCGCTCCTTTGGTAGATTTGGTCGCGTCGAACCTTAGAACAAAACAAGTCACGTGTTACCCGGAGTCTGGCATTATAATAATATCAGTGTTAAGGTCAATATCGATTTGAGACTCTCTAGTTGTCGGATAGAACTCAACTCATATTATAACACCAGTGTATTGAGTATGCAAAGAGTATACTCAAGTATAAAGTAAGTCCTAACATTAATACAGAAAAATTCGAATGCCAAGAATCGTTATTGTAAAAAATAAATTAATGTCTCAATATTGGCGGTGGTCAGTATATTAATCACATTTGTTATGGCCCTTTAGCGGTAGTGCAGTTGAGTATAGATAATTACTTATATACCTACATATATATATTATATTTTTGCGTTGATGAGAAGTGATTAGACATAAAATAGTCAACTAAACACATCGTTATAGAGCAGTTACTTATTATTTTGATTTTCCCATGTATAGTTGTATCTGATATTTTTTTTTATCTCATAAATTTGCTGACTTTATCATTTTTAACTTGCCATTCTTTGGTGGCAATTCTTAAAGAGTTAAGAGATCGCTCAACATGGTAAATGGCCCTACTCTTTCTGGCAAACGCAAAATATAGCGCAAAAATACTTGCGAAAAAGTTACTACAGAACATTTTTTATCGTTCTACAAAGATATAGTTTTAAGATGACATAATTTGAACTGTAACCCTGTTTAATAATAATAAAAAAACAAAACAATAAAAACCAAATTGGTCCGGAAGTTCGCACATTATTCGCACTATGTAGCATAATAGTTTATTATTATAGAAATTTGGCCGTCAACAACATCGCCTAAAAATACGAGGCTACAAGGACAACGGCGGTGGCGGCAGTGTCTTAATTAAATCCTTAAGGACGCCTCCGGCAGTGTAATATCCATGTACATTATAATATATTATGTATATATCGTAGAGGAATTGTTCGCGGTGTGTCCTGTGTGCGCCCACGCACACTCACCACTGCAATATATAGGCCGTTATCGATTAATGGCCTACGATAAAGCTGACGATGCCGCCGCCGGCGCCGTACCTTCCCCGCTTATCAGAGTGTATACATAACGAGTTTGCGATTTGATATTTCGAAAAATTATTATAATCGAAAAAGAAAGTAGTCTAGAAACGAATGCCGATTATAATGTATTGTAAGAAGATAATATTCTATCACACATGCCTTAGTACGATCGACCGCGTATCGGTTAATTAAAACGAAAAATAATACAGGACAGCAAAAATCTAGTACAATATTTTCCATCTATTAAAAAAAAAAAAATCTGTTTTTTTTTTGTACCGATTTGACGCGTTCTATGTTGCAATACACGCATTCCAAAATGAAGCTGGTTTACAACGATCTTAAAGTGTTTTTGAGTATTAGTACAGACAAAATATATACCAAGCTCAACAAATACAAATGCTTAATATACATAGTGTGTAGTCTTAAGCATTAAAAACAGTCGAGCTTACACTAAACCTGCGGTATACTATTGCAAGGAGCCGGCACAGGACTTGTGCACCAACGTCTAATATAGTGTAAAATATGCATATTACACTCATATATACTTTTCGGTTATCAATGCAACGGGTTTAAACTTACATCCAAAGACGTATGGAATGTTTTTATTGATAAAAAAAAAATTGTATATATATATATATATATGATGGACAGAAGTCATAAGCATCCGTGAGAAATGTTCATTACCTACCGGCCACTGAGTACATATTGATACTGATGTCATGAGACGACCAGAACTGGTATTTTGTGTTTGCTTTGAAATATTGTACAAACAATCTACATGTACAAACTGTTAGAACTTATGTTTTTTTCGGTAGTTAACCGACGAGTGAACTCGTGTGAATGTAAATTGCAAATTCACACAATTCTATTTGCCGCCGGGCAAACACAATAATAATAATATGATGTTATATACCGTCGCGGCTCTAACCGTATAATATTAACACATAATTGGCGACACATTCGACGACACCGAACTGACAATGATGAATAACCGCCGTCGGGTAAGACAGGAAATTATTCAAGAGATTGTTTTTTTATTACATTATACTAGGTATTAATGTTATTATTAATAAAATATACACCCATGTCAGCCGCGGCGATACTATTATATGCGACGACGATGGTCATCACAACCTGGGCCCATTGATGCCAGTGACATTTGTACTTATAACTTATTCATAAGAAAACGAATCGGCACATTTATTATCACTTTTTGTCGTCCGGAGCAGCAGCAGCTGTCGGCGATTCTCTTTTTTTCTTCCCTCGTGTCCGTGTAGAAATATAATATATTATTTTATTCTCTACAACGGTATTGTCATACATATTATTGTACAATAACATTCGCTATGCACTTACTAACGTCACTGTCATAGTACCGCCAGCGGTCTTACATTCTACATCCAAATTTTATGTAAATCAGTTCAAAGCAAAATAACCATTTAAACGACCCGGTCTTGTTTTAATCCCGTTAAATACATATTAATAAGAATATTGACGTATGCGTTGACTTCACTCGATTTTTTAATGTTATTATTGCGCTGATAAATTAAAGTACTCGAACCGTCAACGCGTCATCCGACCCTGAAGTACCTACTATACTATCCAGTGTACAGATATTACACATGGAATAGGAGTAGGTATTATATTAATGTCCCGTTAACACAAGAGTAAATGGGTCAAGCGATTGTAGTGGAACGTTTATATAATAACTCTAAAACATCGGATTCGGCATACAACCAACAAGACTTTATTCATTGTGTGTCCGTGTACGTTTTGTTTTGATTGATATCTGAGTAAGTAAACGACGGCGCCGACTATGACTTCAAACAATATTGTGATTTCCCATGGTAAACCGCAGTGCGCCGGCAGTGATCATTATTCGACTATACGTCAACGTGTCTTTAAAAAATATATATAATTACATGATCTACGACATCGTTCAACAGAGTTTTGACGCAAACATTAACATCGAATTAAACGCACGTAGATAATATAAGACGTACACGCATTACAGTGTCCCATCTATGTTAGAAACTGATTTACTCCAAAAATATGAATATTTTTAAAGTGATTTTGTTTTCTATGCTTGAAGGTACATAATATTTTACTATATTTTGCAATACTTACTACTTTTTTTGTATCCCTTATACGTACAAAAAGTATAGATTTGGTTTTGTCAAATGGAAACAATTGTTTTAAATTCCATAAATATTTTTAAAAAATGTTTGCGGTTGATATTTTAATTTATATCAATCTATTTGTTATAGCTATGACTTTGTAATAAATCCAAAAACCTGTAGCCCATAAAATTAATATTGATGTTCGTATTGTCCGATAGGTGATAACACCAATAACTAGCACAAGACAATATTTTAAGACAATGATAGACAAGCGGTTCTTATCTACTTATTCAAACACAGTGACGACTACTGGTTTTTGGAAAACCGAAAATGTATGATAATTTATTGTAAGGGAAAAGTATATTTGCAATGTCTTAGAAAATAAACAAATTGATGAACATTAAAAATTAAATGTGCAAAAATCACATAAAAATGTAATTTGTACAGTAAATGTTTTGAACATCGTGTTATATTTTTCAGTTCAATTGCCAATAAAATATCAATCAACGAGTAAAGGGGATGGTTAGCATTTTACCGTATTATAGACTACAGAATTATTGTTATTGCTTACATTTGTATGTATTTGCGATTAATAGAGTATAAAGAACATAAGGAAATCATTGTGCGACCTTATGTTGTAGCCGAAAATAATTATACGTAAGAGTAAAACACATCAGTTGATATAGGTTTGAGTCAGGCCTAGCGGTGTTCGCGTGTGGTCACCTATATGACAATAATAATATGTAAACGATATAAAATAAATAAATATGTGTAGAAAGGTATTTACAAGGATGTATGTAATATATATGTGGCTGTATTATACTTGATAATATAAAGGCTATGTGTGTGATGTATAGATACGAGATCGAGGTACGTATAGAATTATACAAATATAGATATAATAATAATAATATATTAATGTTGGAAAAAAGGTGAAACGAATTATATATATATATGTAGGCGATATTATAGGTGCGAGTTTGTCACCTGATTTAGAGGCGTTGTAAAACCCCATAACGCTGTACTAAAAGGAATAACATTATACTATTATAATATATTATATGCACCATATGTATATATTTTTTATCATGGCGAAGGAGTTAAACGCTTGACGAGTATAAAATACAAACGTATTTATTTTCGCGTTACACACATATAATAACATGTATGTAAGCACATTATATAGGTATATGTATATATAAATATATTCATATTACTCCATATATAAAACTGGATGTGGTTATAATAATAAACGTCAGCCGGCTCGTTTAATAATTTAATGGCTGACCGGTCGAAATTAAAGGAGCACTGCCGGAGACAAACGACGTGTAAAAAGTCACCTCAGTCGCGGCGTTATGTTATTTTATCCGTATATAATTATTATCTGTACTGTATAAAATATACAATACACACACATACATATTTATATAAAGTGTAACATAAACCGATACCGAACAGAATCTACCCTCTATAGAAAATAATACAATGTACGATATAGCGTCTCCCCGTCTGTTATAATAATAATAATCGCATTCGTCCAAGTTGTGTCTCGTAAGCTCATATTGTCGTTGTACATTATGTAATACATATTTTTATCCCGTATAATATACCTACTTGACTATAGATGTTTACTCGTGTGTATGTTGATTTGTAAAGCGTACGGGTTATGGTATAGGTATATAATATAGGACTCGCAATACCGTTTACGAGACTTGGTCGCTTAAAAAAAATGGTCTGTCTTTGATCGTGTTACACATAAACTTCTGTCGACCGCCTCAACCATTAGCCGTTTTACCAAAAAATGTCACGTTTCTATCAAACTCTTACTGTTCAAAAGATCAAAATTGTATTCAGTACTTATCAAAAACTGT